AAAGTTTGCAGGTTAGAATCTGGGGAGCGGCATGAGCTCCCACTGTTAGCCCCAGCTTCTGCCAACCTAGCAGCTTGAAAATATGCAAATGTGAGTAGATCAGTAGGTACCGCTCCAGCGAGAAGGTGACAGTGCTCCACGAAGTTATGCTGCCCACATGACCTTGGAGGTATCTATGGACAACACTGGCTCTTAGAAATGGAGGTGAGCACCAACCCCTCAGTCAGACACAACTGGACTTAATGTCAGGGGAAAACCTTTACCTTTAATATTAAGATCATTTAAACAGAATCCCAGGCCAAGATACCATAAAGGCACCAGATACTGTTTGACCTTGGAAGATGAATCCAGTCAGCCCTGGTTAGTACTAGGATGGGGGACCAGTAATGAATATCAGGTTCTGTAGGCTAATATTATGAAGGAAGGATCAGATAAAACCACCTCTGAGCAAATTCCTTGTCTAAAGAAAACCTTATGAAATTCATGGGGTCACACTACCTTGACTTTAAGGTACATGTACACACACAAATTAAAAATAACATTTTTAAAGGGGCAAATATTACATGTCTTCTTAAGCGTGACATTATGTGGAGCCCCAGGGCATCTTGATGTGGGACATGTTTCCACTGTCTGTCTTGCAATAGTCAAAGCCCTTACCCTGGAGATGCCCAATTGAATTTAATGAGAACTCCCCAGAAGACCTTGTCTCAGCTTCACGATGCCCAAATGAATGGAGGCCTCCTGCTGGCACCCCCTCCACACAGCCAAAGACCCTCTTTTTGTCTCTCCTTCTTCATGGATGCTTCCCTCTTCTCTCTTGATGTCCTGCCGTTGACAAAGATGACACTAGTTTGTTCTACAGACACGAAAGACAAACTACCATAATGGTTTGGAGAACTGGCAGGGGGCCTGTCTTGTTCAGCACACCATTTGATGTGCTGTATTTTCTGGCACTGTAAGCGCAGAGAACAGGAGAACACCAAGAGGCCTGGAAGATGGGCTTTCATTTCAGCTAAAGGTTTTTCCAGGGTGATTAATAAAGCCTGGGTGGGGGTGCCGGTGGCAGCAGGGAATTGAATGCAGGCCCAATGTGCCAATAAAATAGTCATAGGGAAGGTACTGAGTTAAAAAATCAATATCCCGATAATAACTCTGCCTATTGCAGGCAGAAGATACAAAAATTCTGTAGACAGCTACTAAAGTATAATGGTTTGAGTGTTTGACTAGGACTGGGAGATCTCACTTAGTTATAGAAATCCAATGGGTGATCTTGGGCAAGTCACACTGCCTCAGAGGAAGACAATGGCAAACCTCTCTAAACAAATGTTTGCTATGAGAATCCAGTGATAGGGCTTCTGTAGGGTCCCCATAAGTTGGATATGATTTGAAGGCACATAACAACACAGCACAAGTACCCAAATTTTTTGGATACTTTGCCATTCTCAGAGATGTATACTAGTCACGCCTACAATAATAGATACCATCCAGACCACAGCAAGGTAATTTGTAATGCTATGATATATTACTTTTGTCTTCAGCAGAGTTTTTTCATGCTGAAGCTGCAATAAGATAGGCGGGTGCATGAAAAATGGGTAGGAGTGCTCTATGAGTATGTAAACCAAAACCAAAACCAAAAACATTCAAAAAGCAAGCCACAAACTACCAAAAAAGCAAGCCACAACTACCAAAATACAACAGTATTATATTATAAATGTGGCCTAAATCATTAGTAGTTCAAATGTTTTATTGAGTCAGAAAGCTCACTTTTATAGTATTCAGTATAATGGGAAGGCATGTTCCTTTGTTGAGTTGAGCACCTAGAGCAGTGTTTCTCAACCTGGGGGTCATGAGGGGGCATCCGAGGAGTCACCAAAGACATCAGAAAACACAGTATTTTCTGTTGGTCATGGGGGTCCTGTAAGTGAAGTTTGGCCCAATTCTATCGTTGGTGAGGTTCAGAATGCTCTTTTATTGTAGGTGAACTATAAATCCCAGCAACTACATCTCCCAAATGTCAAGTCTATTTCCCCCAAACTCCATCAGTGTTCACAGTTGCCTGTGTTCAATCTGTGTGCCAAGTTTGGTCTAGATCCATCATTGATTGAGCCCACAGTGCTCTATGGATGTAGGTGAACTACAACTCCAAGAATCAAGGTCAATGAGTTCCAGTATTTTCTGTTGATCATTGGTTCAATTCTATCGTTGGTGGACTTCAAAATGCTCTTTGATTGTAGATGAACTACAAATCCCAGGAGCTACAACTCCCAAATGGCAAAATCATTTCCTCCCAACCCTACCAGTATTCAAACTTGAGCGTATTGGGTATTTGTGCCAAATTTGGTCCAGTGAATGAAAATACATCCTGTACATCAGATCTTTACATTACAATTCATAACAGCAGCAAAATGACAGTTATGAAGGAGCAACGAAAATAATGTTATGTTTGGGAGTCATCACAACATGAGGAACTGTATTAAGGGATCGTGACATTAGGAAGGTTGAGAAACACTGACCTAGAGTGTGAACGACTTCATTTGCATATAAACTGTAGAATTGACACCATTTTAGCTGCCATGGCTCAATGCTATAGCACCATGGGAATTGTAGTTTCTCTTGATGGCAGTTAACAACAATAGCAAATGTTAATATATGTATCAGGCAACATTTGTAATGTAGGAATAGTAATAACAGTATCTTACCTTGCAAGGATAATTGAGGTGAACAGGTGAGCAATGGACTGAGCACTGTGGCAAAGTGAAGTCAATAACAGTTCCAAGCTTCTCTGTGGAAGGAAGAATGCAGCTCTCAATCAAAGAAATACATTTCCAAATCTTGGTTGTTGGTTCTGAATTTAAAGCAAGTGGCTTGAAGCTCACTCAAGGAAGCTTGGGAAGTCACAAGAGAAAGGCAGCCATAGGAGCCATCAGGAGCAGAAGGTGTTTTGGTGGTATAGGCTGGACCTGTTAGCTTTGGAGAAATTGGCACCCATGCAATACTTTGCCTTCAAACGTATCACATAGGTTCAGTAAATGTTGGTCCTCTCAGGTTCAAAGATGTCCTCAATCAATGCCAAAGTCAGCTAATGGGAAGGTCATTGCCATCTGTAATTAGATCCGAAAAGGAAGGACATACTGATTGTATAACAGTAACCAGGCCAGAGGAAAGAGAAAGTGTCAATTTGTTTTAGATAGGCTCACTAAATTTCAGATGTGACACTACGATTAGCAGTAGAACAAGCCCTATGAGGAGCGGCTTAAGGAGCTGGGCATGTTTAGCCTGAAGAAGAGAAGGCTGAGAGGAGATATGATAGCCATGTATAAATATGTGAGAGGAAGCCACAGGGAGGAGGGAGCAAGCTTGTTTTCTGCTTCCTTGGAGACTAGGACGCGGAACAATGGCTTCAAACTACAAGAGAGGAGATTCCATCTGAACATGAGGAAGACCTTCCTGACTGTGAGAGCCGTTCAGCAGTGGAACTCTCTGCCCCGGAGTGTGGAGGAGGCTCCTTCTTTGGAAGCTTTTAAACAGAGGCTGGATGGCCATCTGTCAGGGGTGATTTGAATGCAACATTCCTGCTTCTTGGCAGGGGGTTGGACTGGATGGCCCATGAGGTCTCTTCCAACTCTTTGATTCTATGATTCTATGGTATGGGTGGAAGCTCGGTAGATTTTAGCGCCTCTTCAGAGACTTTGTTTATATATAATTCAGTTTTGAATGTATATATCATTTAAGGCAAGGATTCTGTTAGTGTGTGAAAGCCTCAGGATAACGAATGGACTGGATTGGATGACATTGATTCAAATCTGTTCCAGTCTCAATTCTGGTTTGGTTTCAGGATAAAAATGGCCTTGGTCTTCCTGCTGGAGTAAAAGTTTGTTAGTTTTTCAGGCCCTTTGAGTGACCTTTAGTAACATCCACAATGTTATCCTTTGGGATTATCACTCTGAAATAGGGTTAGATGGTACATTATTATGATGGCCCTAGTCCTTGGTAGTGATTGGTTGATGGGACAGATTGAGAGACCACTTGTTCCACCACACAGTGTTTTGTCTTTGGGTCACTTTACAGCTCTATTTTTCCTTCACAACCCAGGAGTCTCTCAGAAACTCCTGAGAGAAGTGGTTCAGAAGGCTAGGCTAAAGGTGTGGATAGCATCTAGATAACATGTAACTCTACTTTTTTTCCCTGTCTGTTAATCCCAGGCAGGCTGTTGAAATCTGAACAGGTGTATGGAGATTTCAGAACTGATAAAGCTATGAAAGCTAGTGAAAGATTAATGCAGATGTAATGAAAGCACCCTTAACATGCTCTGCATACGGCACCTGGAGAGTTCAATGGATTTAGGGCACAACTATTTGAATATTTGTGTGGGCCAAAGTATCCAGAGATGTCTACATAGATTTTATATCAGTTACATTGGTCATCTATTACTATCAGAAGGGTGTTATAGTTTAATTTAATCACCACTTCATTATGTCCCTTGGATAGAGCCAGGTGAAAAATCAGTATGGATTAACAGACTTGTTGATGCTGAAGAAAAGGTAACATTGAAAGCACCAGGTGGCTCAGGGCCTCGATTCTGGGAAGAATATGCTTTCCTATGTAGACCTGCCTGAGAATTGAGGTCAGTTGGAGCAGCCCTCTTGTGAGGCAATATACTGTGGGAGGACATAGAAGAGGGCCTTCTTTGATGTGGAAACCTGGTTATGGAATACTCTCCCCTTCCAAGTCAAATTGGCATAATATTTCTTTCTTTCTGATGCTGCRTCAATGCATGACTTTTTATTAAAGCCTTTGGGCTCTATTGATTTTACCTAACATGCATGCGTTGCAGTTTATGTCAGCTTGAGAACCTCAGATATAAGGCTGGATATAAATCTTKTTTAAAACAAGGTTTAAAATTCAACAGCTCCCATTGCCTCTTTTCTAACCTACATTCAAACACAGGAAGAATTAGAAAGTTTGCAATCCATTTATGGAATGATGTCCTCTGTTTACAGGATAGCCCTGGATATGGTTCYCATTGGTGTCCATCCATCAAGCTATATGGATTAAATGGTCCATCAATGCAACATGTTCAAGAGATGATCCTATGGCTTGTTTCTACCATTGAAGCCCAGCGTGCACTATAATACATGGTATGTATTGTTCTTATGTTTGAGATGTGGAGAGTGRGACATCAAACTAGCTGGTATTACTCCTTGCTTTTGGATCAATTAAACAAATGTCAGCTAGAATTCACGATTTCAGTTATACATAGGTGACTGATCCATATTCATGATCCCTACTAAAAGTAGAGTGTGATGCCAGTTTAACAGCTAGGGCTTAATGAAATGGAACCTTGTGAGCTGTAGTTTTACAAGGTCCTTAGCCTTCTCTTCCAAAAGGTGCTGGTGCTTTACTAAATTACAGCTCCCATGATTCCATAGTGTTGAACCTTGGCACTTAAAGTGATAATAGAATCCTAGAGTTGGAAGAGACCTCATGGGCCATCTAGTCCAACCCCATTCTGCCAAGAAGCAGAAAATCACATTCAAAGGACCCCCGACAGAGGGCCATCCAGCCTCTGTTAAAAATCCTCCAAAGAACCCTCCACCACACTCTGGGGCAGAGAGTTCCACTGCTGAACAGCTCTCACAGTTAGGAAGTTCTTCCTAATGTTCAAGTGGAATCTCCTTTCTTGTTTGAAGCCATTGTTCCACGTCCTAGTCTCCAGGGCAGCAGAAAACAAGCTTGCTCCCTCCTCCCTATGACTTCCCTTGACATATTTATACAATTCTGCAGTGTAGATATGCTCTTATTCGATAGTTGTAATGAGTAAGTATATATGTATGGTTGTAAAAATTGCCTAATACTTACTTACTGGGTAGCACCTGCTGTGAGAGTTGAGGATCTGTTGTCCAGTCAGTTGGAGTGCAATAGGTTTACATTTCCACCCATCTTCCATGTCTGACCTCTGTTGTGAAAAGGAATTGCAAAAGAGATCCTTCTTCTGACTGTCACCCAGGGGCGGCTCAATCCATTACGCAAAGTAAGCATTCACAGTATAGTTGATTTTGCCCGGGGGCACTCTTGAGGCACTCTTGGGGGAAAATAGACCTTGACATATGCGAGTTGTAGTTACTGGGATGTATAGTTCACCTACAATCAAAGAGCATTCTGAACTCCACCAATGATGGAATTGAACCAAATATGGCACACAGAACTCCCACGATGAACAGAAAATATATATCAGTGATTGGGGGGGGGGGGGGCCAAAATACTGTTTGCTTACTGTTGAAAATTACCTAGGGCTGTCTCTGCTGTCACCCCAGACCAGGAGATGCTCCTGACCTACTCAACAAAGGTAGCTACTTAGCTAGAGAGCTGATCTAGAATGTTGACCATCTGCTTTATTGCAGAAGCTGCAACGGCCTAGAGAAGCAGAAGAGTGCATGCAGTAGTACAAAGAACAAGAACGGTAACTGCAGGGCAAGACCTAGCAGCACAAACTGTCTTTGTTCAGTTTCTTACCTGGAAAAGAGGTGTATATTTCTAGGCTGTAAACATTCCCCAGGAGGGAAGGGGGCTGGGCAGAGGAGAGTGTGAGGGGAGGGATGGGGGCAAGGCTTTCCCAGCATGGAAACACTTACTGCAAGAGCAGGAAATAGCAAAATTGAAGGGAAATGTTCTGTTTGCTGCCCTGGTGAATTCATTCCACAAAATGTTGTGTGTGTGTGTGTGTGTAAAAAGACTATGGAGGCGGTATAGATTGGTGGTGTATATGGTTTCCATAACCAGAAGACTATGATGAAAAGAAGACTTATTGGGTCATTCCTTCTTTTGAATATCAATCAGCCAAACCACTGTGTGACCACATGTGAAAGAAAAAAAAAGGATGAATAGCTCTGCAGAAGAGGTTGTATTAATGGGTTATACAGGTAAACTTGTTACAATTCCCTTTTCTAGACAGTTGTTAAGTGCAAAGGAACCCTGCTTTTTTGCATTTGGGACCCTCTTGTAACTGTTTTCCTTAATGTCTTCTGATCAATTGTTTTTAATATTTTTTCAAGTCTTTTTTTTTAAAATGGGCTCCTAGTTTGGTATGGAGACAGATTTTACATTTTTTGATCTGGGCTGATTTACATCTGGACCCAATCCATTCTACTAAGACTATGAATCTGAATTGAGATTTGCAAATCCAGATTATAAATCCACAATTGACTTGCCAAATAAGTTTAAACATTTTGTTTACAAGCATCTATATAATGGGTTGTTGTAGGTTTTTTCGGGCTATATAATTTCAGACAGTCAGTTCCATGGATATTTGTTTTAAGCACTTGTTAAATTTCAGTGCTTCAAAAAATTAAAGAAAAAAGCAAACAAGACAGCAGCTATAAAAGGTTGTTTACTGCTTATTTCATGTTGCTTTTGTTCTCCCAAAACATCGATCAGCCAAATTTGCTAAAGTTTGACTATGATAAAAATACTGATCATGTTTCTTTTTAACTTTATTTTATCAGCAAATTAGTTGGTAAGATTCAATGATGTAATATAAAGAAGTAGAAAGATCAAACAAGAGCATTTTTTATTTAATATTACTGCCAGTCCAAGTGGTGAGACCCCCTGGAAAAGACTCCTCTATTTTGGTGCATTTGGTGAGTTGGGCTGGCATTGGAACTTTTTGTTTTTTACAACCTGCTAACAACATAATGAATTCAGTGATATCATATAGATTCTTCCTCATAAACCTTTGGTCCTTCAGGTGTTTTGGAATCAGCTCCTACAATTCGTAACAGCTGGTAAACTGGCTGAGGTTTCTGGGAGTTGAAGTTCAAAACACCTGCAGGACCAAAGGTTGGGAACCACTATCATAAACATTGTCATTGAACAGTGCTAGTGAGATTTGTGACCCCAAAGCACTGTCAATGAACACAGCACAGCTTTTCTCCTCCACTTCTACATTGTATCACACTGGTCTCTTCCTTACATGCTCATGCTGTACTCCAGACCCGAGTTGTGTCAATCCAGTGGACTCTGGAGTTGATACTAATCAGTCTAAGTCAGTTTCACTGACTTCAATCAGGATTTGGCCAAATTCCTTGCATAGCCATGCTTGTTATTGTTAATATATAGAAATAACACAATCAGAGAGGCATCTCCTCTCTTACCTTCAATGATACCCAGTGCATTTATCTGAAGTTTACTTTGCCTTTTGTTGCTGCTGTTGCTCTTGTTGATGTGTGTCTTCAAACTGAACCCTAAGGATTTTCATAGACAGATTTGTTCAGAGAGGGGTTGCCTTTCTCTTCCTCTGAGGCTGAGAGACAATGACTTGCTCACCAGCACAGAAAATAGGGATTATGGAATTTATCACTTGAAATACCTAAGGGACACCAGGTTTCTTATCTATTTGTTTGGCCTTGGCAGATTTCTTGGTGTTTCCTAGGAATTATTTTTAAAACTGAAGAGATGGGAACACAGAAGGGGGGATGTGATGTGGCTGCAGAGCTGGGAAGAGTAACCTTTGTGACTGCAACTTCAGAAATCTCCCCCCCCCCCCCAGGATGACCAGTAGCCAATGGTGTCTGTGAAACTCTGGTAGCTGCAGTCAAAAAATCCTAACTTTCCAAGCTGTGTTTGTTAGGGGTAATGGGATGCAATGAAAGTCAGAAGTTTAATACACTTAATGGTTGTGTAAAGGAGAGTATTTGGGCAAAGGCTATTTGTCTTCTCTATTGTAGAGAAGTGAGTACCAGCATTTCCCCAAACCTCCTCTGCTGCACAACTATTAATGGCTGAGATGTAACCTAGTTTCTCCCTTGACTTCATCTCTTTCACTGTTAGATTTTGGTCTTCCATCATTCCGAGAACCCACGCCACATAAAATCTGTGACTCAAGAGATGCCAACATCCTTGATGAAATGCTGCCATTTCAGTCTTGCCTTGTGTTCAGACTCGAGGGGATCTTCATATCCGGTCATAGGACTCAGCAGCTCTGCCAGCCTCAAGGCCGTTTCTGTCACGCTGCCATCGGCTGCCTGTCTGTGGGTGGGCAGGACAGTCAGCATTTGACAGTCTCAACCGGGAATGAGCTGGCACTGTGGTTCCCATGTGAATCACCAACCCACAGTGTGATTTCCTCCGGAAGGGCACGCTCTTGGATGGACGGAGCTGCTCAGTAAGAATGTGACAGAGAATGTCGAAATAAAAGTGTTACTGTCCCATCCGATCACTCAGTGTGCCCAGTGAGCTGAGCTCACACAGTCAACACTCCCAGTGGCATGTGAGCTACATATCTAAGAGGAGTCGCTAAGCTCTGTTATGGGAACGGGAAGTTCATGTTTGGCCTCAATGCCACTTCCAAACTCTGCAGGGCTAGAGAACGCATGTTAAGAAGTGGAGAATGCATACTGTTTCCTGATATCTCTTTGAGGAGTTTCCTCATGGAATGCAACCCCAGCTCTGCCAAGCTCAAGGTCTCTGATTGAAATGAGGAAACAATTCATATTTCTGGTGCTGATGAACCACCTTGAGTCCTATTTTGGGAGAAAGGCAGGATCAAAATAAAGTAAATAAACAAACAAACATATAATCCCTAAATGTCCATGGGTGAATTATTTAGCCAGCATGATGTAGTAGTTCTGAACATTGGACTCTAGTGACCAGGGTTTAAATTCCCACAAAGCCATGGAAGCCAACTAGGTAGCCTTGGGCAAGTAATACTCTCTTAGCCCCAGAAGAAGACAAAAGCCAACCTAGTCTGAACAAATCTTGCCAATAAAACCCAATGATAAGTTTGCTTTAGGATTTCCATACATTGGAAATTACTTGAAAGCACACATTAACAACAACAACAGAGTTGTAATGTATTTTGAGACCAAAATCTGAGGGGCGGTGAGTGATTTTTTTGGACAACAATGTTAAGTCATGCTGACCAGAAATTCTAGGAGTTTTAGTCCCCAAAACTATTTTCCCTACCAAGCTCAGGAAGAGAAAAATGCATAGTTAATGATAATGGCCCATCTTGACACAGTATTGTCCAGGCTGATGGGCAAAATTCATTGAAAAATGTTCGTGTATTTGGCTAGGAATGTGATAGCAGAGGCAGTGGAGTAGGAGCAATTTATGGAAAGCTCAAAAGTATTTACGTTTCCAAAGAACCAATTCAGACTACCAAATTGACATGTTAAGAAGGCAAGTTGAGTGGATCTGTTCAGTGATAAGCTTATAGTGGGCAGTTATGTGACTACTTCTGCTTGTACCTCCCTTTTTTTGAGGAAAATAAGCTCATATATACCATGTATCTCATGAAGTGTGCTGTAAATCAGAAAAAGCTCATACAATAATAAATATGTTTAGTTTCAAGCCTTTAAGGCTTTATTCCATTTGCGCAACAGACTAAGGCCCCTTTCACATCACACAGTTATCACAATTATAGCACATCTTTTAATGTTTTTTTAAAATTCATTTTAATATTGTCAAAAGTTTAATCCTCTGTTTTCAAATATATTACATTTTAATGTGTAAGCTGCCTTGAGCCCCAATTTTGGAGAATACATAAAAACATTCATATATACATACATACACTTGAGTTGCCCTGGGTCCATCATGCAGAATCCTGGAATCTGCAGTTCAGAAATGGGCATTTAGAAGTCTCAGCGGAAAAGGCACAATGCCTCAGCAAATTACAAATCCAGTGATTTTTCTGGGATGTTGCCATCGTGAACAAGGTGGAATAATAATGCCATAATTAGCTAGTGTGAAAGGGTCCCTAGCTTGGCTATTCTCATATAACCCCCGGTGGCGCAGTGGGTTAAACCCCTGTGCCGGCAGGACTGAAGACCAACAGGTCGCAGGTTTGAATCCGGGGAGAGGCAGATTAGCTCCCTCTATCAGCTCCAGCTCCTCATGCGGGGACATGAGAGAAGCCTCCCACAAGGATGAGAAAAACATCAAATCATCCAGGCGTCCCCTGGGCAACGTCCTTGCAGACGGCCAATTCTCTCACACCAGAAGCGACTTGCTCCTGACACGACCAAAAAAAAAAAGCACCTCTTACAGATGTATCAATTGGCTGTTCAAGTCTAATAGTACTATCATCACCATTTACTACATCTGGTATTACTACTATTCCATCACATATTTTACTTTGCTCTTTAGACTGAAAAAGCTCAGAGTGGCTCACAATTGCTAGCACTAAGCATCTCATCACATTAGAGAATGAATCCACTTTAAATCCGGTTGCTGCCTCCTGCAGAATTCTGGGGTTTGTAGTTAAGGGAGGAGCCTTTCACAGCCTCACTACACTACAAACTCCAGAATTCTGCAGGTGGCAGAAGCCAAATTTAAAGTAGATTCATTCTCTAGTCTAGTGTATGACATGTCCCTGTTTTCAGGTTTGCAGTGTAAGAGGTGTGATATACAAGGAAAAATGATGGAAGAGGAAGGGAAGAAAGACATATATGTTCCATATATGTATGTTCCTTGAAGTCACTTGTTGACTTATGGTGACTCCATGAATAGCATAGGGGTTTCTTGGGCAAAGACTACTCAGAGGTGATATTATTATCGTTATGTTTATTTATACTCCTTTTTTCTCTCTCAACAAGGAGATTTAAAGCAGCCATTGCTTTTCTCTAAAAGACAGCCTTACATCACCTGGCATTTCTTGGCAGTCCCCCATCCAAGTCTTAACTAGGACTGAGCCTGCAGAGCTTCCAAGAGCTGATGGAATCTTGAGCCTTTAGGTTATTTAGGCCTTTGTTATTGTCTATTCAATCAGTCTCTTCCGACTCTTCATGACCTCATGGACCAGCCTATGCCAGAGCTTCCTGTCGGTTGTCACCACCCCCAGCTCCTTCAGAGTCAAGCCAGTCACTTCAAGAATACCATCCATCCATCTTGCCCTTGGTCAGCTCCTCTTCCTTTTTCCTTCCATTTTCCATTTAGGCCTTACATATTAACATTTCTAAAATTACACTTCCAATAATGACCAACTGGTATAAAAATAGGTTAGGTAGCTTGGTGCAATGGCTGCTGCTTGGAGATCCTTGAAGGAGAACCAAAGGCAGGTGGTCTCTCTTAGCAGAAGTGATGAAATAGTCCTATTTTTTCTCCTCTTTTGTAGTCTGATGGAATGACTGCTGTCAGCTGGCAATGGAGACTGCTTTTTCTGGTACAGAAAGTGTGTTTCGAATTGTGAACTAAGTTATAAACATTCTGAGATCTATAACCATGTGTTCAGCTCACATTTTCCATGCGGCCATTTGGACTGGCCTAAAATAAATGGGGAAAGGGGACTTCCCAAGAGCATCTCAGTCAGCTTAATGCAATGCAGACTTGTCTGGAACAAGGGACAAGCAGCCCCCCTTTTACAATCACTTATCAATGCATTATTAGTAAATTTAGCCAATTCATAATTTTGCAGAGTTTTGCTGTCTTCCTATAATGAAACCCATCAAAAAGGGGATTACTCCACTCTTGTCTCCTCTGCCCTACCGTTTCTATTGCCATTAGCCTCTTGAATCTTATTTTCTAGATAAAGTGTAATTAGCAAATTGGCTGATTTTTATGTATGATATTTCATGCATTTGAAATTGAGCGTACTCCATTATTCCAATTGTTGGATGTGTCACATATTGTTACAGAAGGATGTTTTTTAAAGTTCTACATCAATTAGTAACTAAAACACTTGGGACAAATCTGTGGAGGAGACTATCGCTTTATACTGTCTGCTCTGCACAAACCGAAACCTGCTTAATTTTCATGACTGAGGAATTCTCTGAATTGCAATTCAGGAAAGAGAGCAATGAGTGCAATTCTAAGCACACTTACTCAGGGAAGGAATATCATTGAACTTAGCAAGATTTACTTCTGAGAAAGCTCACTTAGGATTGTTCTGCATATTCCTTGCATGTTGACTGTAGGTTTGCTCCCCTGGTGGTGGTTGCCAGGGCTCTTTGAAGGAACACATGGAGCACACATACAATGAACACACACATTTACTTTTTGGCTTTGCATATGCCAAAGACTTGGCAGACTCATTTCCTGAAAGCCAATTGGCTTCTCTTACTCCCACATTCATTCTCCTCTATCAAGTTTACCAACTGTTCAGCGTTAACTCCATTTATATAGGGCAATCAATTGAATAAAGGAAAACCTAAGGAAGTTTTGATGTCTTGGACTTCTTTTAAAATGATGATGGCGTGCATTTATCCATCAGTATTTATGGGCAGCTTTGGCAATGCTTAACAGAAGTGTATATGCAAAGTCCATTTTGATGCTTATTTATTTATTTATTATATTTTTATCCCGCCCTTCTGAAGCCCAAAGGCAACTCAAGGCGGCTTATGGATTGGCAGCCATTTGATGCCATAACATTCCACAATATACAGTAAAACGTTTAAAACAGCATTATAAAACAATAAAAAAACCGTTAAAAAGATGTAGCAACCAATGTCTTCCTGTTAATCTCATTTTCCAGTAGCACCGTCTAGGCCATTCTATGTTTCAAACTTACATCATTCCATGTTTGTTTATTGCCCTGTATTTCCAAAGGCTTGTTCAAAGAGCCAAAATATCTCAAAATGATTGTTTTGGTAGCAGTTTCACTTGTTTCTAACAATTAATCCTGACTTTTAGTGGAAAGCCTAAACTTTTTGCAGCAGTTGCTTTCTTGATGCTAGAGTTTTGATTGTCCTGTTAAAGGAGGCCGTGGCAAAGTGCAAATAACCCATTTTCCTTTCTTAGATGTTTGACAGGCATCCTTGCAAGGTAGGGTTTTAAACATTTTCTCCTCCCTTCTTAACTCTCTCCCCCTCCTCCTTTTTTCCAGCAAGAAGGATAAGCTTGGAGTGCCCAGTCGCCGGGGTAACTGCCAGAAAAATTCTCCAGAAGTTTGAAGAGGTCAGCTAACAGGGTCAACAACTCTGGCCTCTTTCTGAAGTGGGGCGGGCAGGCCCCCTCCCGCTGGCCGGGTGCTCAGCAAGGACTAACCCTGGGAGGGGGGGCATTCCAGCTCTGATATAAATTTTTTGAGTCAGTTCACGGCCTGGAATCTCCAGGTGGCCTCCAAAATCGATGGTGACCCCTTGACCCTGTCTAACGTCGGCATCGCATCCAACCTAAGGAAGGATTTAGGCAGGAATGACAGCTTTCCGCTGAGTGTTATTGGGGACAGTACAAACAATTCGGGAAGCAAGGAGGTAGGTATGAGGGGACCAGGTCATTAAAAGCATATTAAAAAACAATTGCAGCGGGTGGAGTGGGAGAAGAAGGCAAAGGAACACTCTGTGCCCTCTGATCGTCCTTTGATAGTTAGCATTTCTTGTTTGTATTTTGTCAACCTTTACAAAGAGTTATTTCCCTCTGCGAAGGACTGAAGATTTCCATCTTTGGATCTTGATTTTAATATTTTGAATGTTCCGATACTCAGAATAGAAAGTGAACTTTTTTATATACCCTAAGCCAAAATTCATTTTGCTTCCAAATATAAATATCAGGTAGGTAAATCACACAAATACATTCCCGTTTTCTAAATATGCCATTTTCCTTCATAGATATATTGCTAGAATTATCAAAAGTGTACGTCTCTATATAATGTATGTGTGTCTATATTAAAATGTACGCACTACCTTTTCGCCTTGTCTTATGTTTGCAAAATAAGGTTCTTTTAAGTTCAGAATGCAGCCAATGTTAAGCACATTTAAATCCCACTGCTTTTCCTGGGACTGAAAAATTCATAACTTTGGTTGGACAGTGCCCAAATCAAACAGGTGCTTTTAACATTAAGACAAGGAAATCACCTGGTACACAAAAATAGACTTGGAATGAAGGTGTACTGGTTTCACAAGGCTGCTCCACTTCTGCTTTGCAAAGTGTTAAGTACACATTTGATTCCATGGGATTGAATATAGTTTTAAGGGGGGAGGGGGATTTTAATCTGCATAAGATAACTAGTTAGTCATAGGCTGGTGTCATGTACATGTTTTAAACAATAGAGGTAAAACAAATCAGGGCATCTCTGCACTCTCCAGCAAGTGAATTTATTGTTCAGTTTCATTACTAGCAATAAGCTCATGTTCTATAATAACGATTAATAGTATTTTCATACAGAGAGAGACTTGATCACACCAATCTGCTCTTTCATTGCAATCATGCTCTTTAAGAAAAAAGAAACATACAATTATTGGAAAGAACACTTTCACACCTTGTTGGAATTGTGCAAAACTGCAACTTTGTTGATGTAGATTCTCATGATCAGTCTTCCATACAACCTCTCTTCTTACCCATGTTTGCCTTGCCCAGTGCATGCATGCTGTGCTTTTTGTGTAGTTATGAGAGCTTCCCCTGATTCACAATATCGGGACTGCAGTGGTTCAGACATCATTGCACAAGGAAGAGTGACAGAACAGTGATGCTGGATTTATTTATGTTTTTCCCCTATCAATGAAAAGAACTGGTTCAATTATGATTCAACCATAATGCAGCTATGGAAGAGCCATGGTGTTGTGTGATAAGGAACAGCAACAGACACTATTATGCTACTGCAATTGCACTGTACCAGCCTTGTGTGATAAAACCCAGAGTCTTTTTACAATAAGACACTCCAAACAGTGGGTTTGAGACACCATTAACGATGGGTACAGAGCATAACCATTGAGAAGTTGCCTCCCACTCCAATGACTAAAAGGTGTGCAAGAGCATTATTGTTTATAGCAGCAAATATAATCATAATGATCTACTTGGTTCATTAAACTATTCACAACAATTAGACAAAGAAAGGCATATCTCGGTGGAAGACCATATGTCCTGAATGCAAAAAGCTTCATGTTCTTCCCTTGTCACCATCAGCAAAAGCAATGGTTATCCACCTTTAGTGTTTGGTTGATTTTTTACTTCAACTTCCAGAAGCCCTGGCTTCAATAGTTAGGGATTCTGGGAGATAAAGTCTAATATATTTACAAGGGCCGCATTTGAGCCTACTGGAATTAAGTAGTTTTCCCGTACCGGATACCTTCTAACTCTATTCAGTTGCAACTTCCATCACCAACCATCCAGCAGGGCCATGCTGGAGATGCTGGGAACTGTAGTCCAGTATATCTAGAGGATTATAGAAGCCTGGACCAAAATTGTGGATAGCATGGGTGGAAAATCCCTCTCCCTGCCCCCAGTACAGAGTCGTAGAATATACTGAGATAAGTTTGACTCTATTATCTGGCGGCATCAACTTAGTTACCCTTGGATTATCATGAGAGACAATTTTCAAACCATTTTTTCAGGGCAGAGGGCACAGAACTCTGGATGTGCATATTTAGCAGTGAGCCAGAGCGATGTCAGATGTTAAGGCATGAATTCCTCCTCTCCTACTTCCAGTCTTAAGTCTAAAGGAGAACTTACCTCTGAAGTTTACATGATCTTCTCTGTACCATTTCCCTATTGGACAATACAGAGGAACTTCAAAAAGCAGAAGTATGAGACTCCAGTTTGTTCTAATAACATCTGGACATTCTCAGGTCATGATGACACACAGACTTGAACTGGTTTCTCTAGCGATATGGCTCTCAGCCAAGAACCCAAGGAAGGGAAGTGTACTTCTATGAAAATATGTGGGAACTTGTGCAGAGAATATTCAATGCTGCTACAATTTGTAGGATTTGGTGTAACATCAGGGAAAACATATGATGGTGAACTAGTTTCAAACAAGATTAAAGACCCTATGCAAACCTGCCATGTTGCAACAGCCATGCTAGTGTAGATAATTGAGTGTAGACATACTGAGAACCTTTGTTATTGGACATCTCTACATTGGCAGAACTGTGCTAGTTCACTAAACTTCTCCTTCCATAACCAGTCTTCCGTACACTCTCTGTAACCTTGCCTTATTCCCTATCGAATGTGTATTGCGGCTCAGTTCATTTTTTAATTTTTATATAGGAATGTATTTGCTATAGGGCGCTATTGGTAAGTATTTCCTGTCAATTAAAAGGGATGGGAGAATCACAAGGGGAGGCACACTGGTAGCAGGATGTGCACTATCTCCAATAAATTTACGTTATCTCATCCCAATGATACATTGGCTGATATTCTGTTGGTCTATTACAGTGGTTTAAGTCAGACTTATTCCATCCGAATTCAGTTTTTTGGTCACTCTGGAAGTCAGAACTCTGTTCCAACCACCCAACACCCCAAATCCCTCCAAATCCACCTTTGAAGCACCACAACAAGCTCCATGACCATTTTCATATTGTCAGCAAGCAGGGGGATCAATGGGGATACATCCTGCTATTTTCCTATAGCTGGATGCACTCCAGTGACATCATTTGCAGTGATCTTCTGGGCACTCCTAAAAGTCCCTTTGGATGATTCTCCCAGTGCTAGAAATGCTCCACTGAGCCCCATTGTTCAACAACAAACATAGCCAGGTGGGAACCAGAGGCTTCTTGACTTTTAGCACTCAATAATTATGCTACATCTATGTAATGAAATGCATCTAGCTGTGATGGAAGCATCTAGTCTGGTCTTCTGAGGCTCAGTAAGACTGTAAAAGCTTCTTTGTATCTTGAATGCATGACACATCACTGTATCTTAGATCTCACTCTCTATGAAACCAAACCAATCAGTGATCACATGAGGTTTTCCAAAAAGACATATTGCCTGACATCCTGTGAGTGATTGACACTTTGTAACATCCATAATTCCACTGAAGATTGTAGAAGCAGTGTTGAACATGTGCCATTGCATACTGAACATGCAGATATGTAGTGAGCATCACTCTCATGCACTTCACATTTGTTTCCATATTTCAGCTGAGTAGTGTTGTAATTCACTAATAATACACCCATCACATAGTTCGGTGAGTGTGAAGTTACACTCTGTTGCCCAGATATAGGATGCTGAAAAAATTGGTAAATAGCTACATCCTACTTGATGTCTTCCAGCTGCAACAATTTTGGTGTCCCTGGGCTCCTTCTACACTGCCATATAATCCAGATTATCAATTATATGAGTCTACACTGCCAGATAATCCAGAACAAAGCAGAAAATCTGGATTTTAGATGGCAGTGTAGAAGAGCCATGGAAATAGAGAGAACTTTAACTTTCTCAGCCAAGAAGAGTAAGGCCCCTTCTACACAGCTGTATGAATTCCATATTGAACTGGATTGTATGGCAGTGTGGACTCAGATAATCCAGTTTGAAGCAGATATTGTGGATCATCTGCCTTGATATTCTGGGTTATATGGCTGTGTGGAAGGGCCCTCAGTCTTATGGTTTCCACCATGAATTACCTCATTTAGATGCCAAAATAATTGCCTATGTATCCTTTACCTAGTTTAATGGGCAGAGTTCATTAAAATTATAGTGATGGAAGTATCTAAGGCCTCTAGGCTAGTGTCCCCAGTGCAAGAGAGGACTACAAAAGTCATCAATTGCCAGATTAGACCACATGGCAATACCACAGTGTCTCATGGACAGAATGCCAGGGTAATACATTTCATGACCAGAAGACCAACAAGTTGTTATTGGTACCGTAAATGCATTTCTTTACTTCTCTTTGAAGGAGTTAATTACAAAACTCTCACTTGTTTCTTTTTAAAAGAATTCAGCACTGCTCTCACAGGATAAGCCAGAGTTGTCTGTGATCAGTTTGGCTGCTCAGCAACTCCAGCATGCGCCTGTTGCTTCCCATTATGAAAGCAAATAGTTGCATTTTTATCAATGTGTAGATTTTCCAAAGCTACTACCAATTCCAGAGGATGTCAATTTGTTGTTGTTCATCTGTCTCCCACAAACAGTGTGTGTGTTTACACAAGCATTTTTCAGGAGAGGAGGGGGGAGAAAGCGGATATATCTGCATAGGAAGCAAATGTTGCCCTGCCAGAAAAGACAAGCCAGCATTTCTCTGGTGCTTGCAGTGTTTCAGGGGGCCCAGAAAAGGCTGAACAAGGTCTCTTTGGAAACAAAGCCCAACCCCAGTCGAGAGGTTGTTAAAGTGACAGCATCACACCCAGGCGGAAGGGGAGGGGGGGGGGAGGAAGGGAAGGAAGGAAGAAATCAGACTGCTTTTCTCTGGCCCTTTCCATCCCATCTTCTGTAGTAAGGACACCTGCACCCCCCCTGTGACTAATTCTGGCCTCAGTAAAGCCAAACTGGGTGCATTGTCCGCCTCTTATATCACCCTGTCTCCATAAAGCCTGCGGTCTGCTGGTTACTAGTATACCATTTCCTTGCATTATGTGAGGCCATTTGTACAGGAACATGATGAACACAACTAAGGCATCAGATCCTGTCTGACCTTGAAACCTAAACCTAAACCCTGGTGTGTACTTCTATGGGAGACCACCAATGATATTTTGGAGAAAGAGGCTAACTAATTCCCTCCACATAAGAAAACCCTACGAAATTCTTTGGACTGCCATAAATTGACAGGTGATTTGATGGCATGCATATGCGCAGACATACACAAACAGATTTTGCAGATTTATATGAACTTCTTTTTTAAGCCATGAAACCAGCAACAATATTTCATATTTGATACTGAATCCAGTATGTACACAGTCTCCCAAAGACAATCACAAAACGTAGCATACAGCCACAATTGAAA